TGTATTTATTTTCAGACCGTAATGTGATATTCTTTCAAATGTTTGCTCTAAGTGCTGTCTGTGCTCGTCGAGGTTTCTGCTGGCGATTAAAACGTCATCCACATATGCAAATATAAATGGCAGACCTCTAAAAACTTCGTCTATTAACCTCTGGAAGGTTTGACAGGCGTTCCTAAGCCCGAAAGGCATCCTTACGAACTCGTAAAGGCCAAATGGTGTGGTCAGTGCAGTTTTATGAATGTCCTCTTCTGCCACTGGAAGTTGGTAGTACGCCTTTACAAGATCCAATTTGGAAAATATGGTGGCGCCTTGTAGACCGATGGCGAAATCGTGGATATATGGAATAGAGTATCTATCCGGGACCGTTTTAGCATTTAATCTTCTAAAATCGCCACAAGGACGCCATGTTGTAGCGTCGGACTTTTTTTGCACCATGTGTAGCGGTGAAGACCAAGCACTTTTCGAGGGTCGGATGATCCTTGCTGTAATAAATGTTGAAACTCGTTTTTCGCAATCTTATACTTGTCCGGTTTCAATCGTCTGGGGGTGGCATAGACAGGTTGTCCAGTTGTCTTGATGTGGTGCTTGGCATTATGTTTTATGGTGTCTGTGTTTTTAAATGGCTGGGAGAGTTGTGGATATTTTTTAGTAGCTGACGGATGTACTGGTCCTCGGGTAAGGCAGAACTGATTCCAGTAGACTGGTATTTCGAGGTGAGTCCTCTTACTGAAATCTTGGTTTGATTATCCACCAGTGTGCGATTAGTCATGTCGACAGACAGGTTGAATCTGGCTAAAAAATCTGCCCCCAATATAGGCGTTGTTACACTGGCTATGGTAAAATTCAGAAAAAATTCCGTCGCATGCCGAGATTGATATTGAGCGATTTCTCTCCGTAAGTTGGTATTTTGGTACCGTTAGCTGCTTGAAGATGATAAGACTGTGGCATAGTCTCCTGATTTTGTGTTGGTGGTATCACGCTTATTTCAGCTCCGGTGTCTATTAAAAAGTTATATCCATTAATTTTGTCGCGGATATAAAACAGACGACCATTTGTTAAAAATCCAGCAACAGCCGTCGTCTCTACTGGATGGAATTTCCGTTTCCCGCATTCGCGTTGTTGAAAGAACAAGGATGTGTACAACGTCTCGCCTCAGGACCAAACCTTTTGTGGTAGTAACAAATTTCATCTTTTCGATTGCGGTTGTCAGTCCGGCCTCTGCTGAAACTTCGCTTTCTGTAGCCTGGACATTTATCGCGGCGGTACTGTCGGTCTTTTGCAGTAAGCCTTGTAATTGTATAGACAACCTTTCTACAGTAGACTTGAGGTCGTTAAATTCCCTGTCTCTTTGTTGGGCTGGTTGTGGTTGGATAGAGTTTACCCTGCCGCTTCGAAAACTTTCATGGATCCGATCTGCAATGTCCGCGAGTTTTTCTGTCTGCGTTTCCTCCGTCATGGGTGCGAGGATTTGTGTTGTTGTAGTGGGTAACTTGTCCAGCCATAAGCTCCGCATAATGTTCTCGGACATTTTGTTGTCACCCAGTAAAGGTTCGCATGTGCCTCAATAACTGCGATGGGGTGCGGTCTCCTAATTCAACCTGAGTGAAAAGGTTGCGTAGCATGGCTTCGTTCGAGGCACCGGTCCGTTTTAAAATTGCTTCCTTGAGTCTATCGTACGGGTTGTCATCCGGGACATTTTCCAGTAAATCCATTACTTCCTCGACGATGTCTGCTGGCAGTTTTTCCACTAAGTAACAATACCGGGTTCTCTGGGGAGGTGATTCGCTTCGCATCAAATAATGCCTGGATTTGAACGAACCAGGACTTAGTGTTAGTCGTGTTGAAAGCCGGGATATTCAACGATAGTGTGGCGAGAGGGTTTTCGAAGATTGTGATTCCATTGTGTCCTTCCTCTTCGTTTTGTTTGTTTTTTTAAATGTAGTGTCTCACGTCGGTCACCAATTTGTAGAGGGTGCAAAGAAGTCCCTCAAACAAATAATAAAAAGAAAATACACTACAAATAAAGTAAAATAAACTTTTGTTTATTTTTTGTAAAAATTATTTTTTTTTCCTTGTACAAAAAATGAAATTGTCCGTAAAGCTGCGGAAGAAAAAAAGAAAGAAAGGAACTGGGAATGTGAGAGGGAAAGGTAGGACTATGTGTAGCGAGCGAGATGAGAGAAAGAGAGGGTGAAAGAATGTTCACTGATACGTGATACTGCCTGTTGTGTGAACCGCTGAATCCTCTCGGTGTGTGTGTGCTCAGGAAACTGTCCGTGTCGCTTTGATGTCAGCTTGTCGCTGTTCTCTCTCCCTTCTGATGAGAGTTTCTACCTTCCTTATATAAGAATGATGAGGCTCCGGGGAGATTAAGAAATGGGTTTCTTATGTCGAGTCCTGATTGGTCAATAAATCCTATTTTTGACCACGTGGTGTCTTTTCACTACGTCCGAACTTTTGGGTGCGCCGTCCTTGTTTTTTGACCCCACAGGGCATGGTAAGGAATGAATTCCCGCGCAATTGTATTTTTTTGATACACGTGGTGTGAATTAATTTTTTATTGTGTGTATGTGTGTGTGGAAAATAAAATAATCTCATATAGTTGCTGGCTATCGGAGGAGTCAGACGTCACCAAAACCAGTCTTAGCTATTTGCCATTAGAAGAAGCAGTTGTCACCAGAACCAGACTTCGTTGTTTGATGCCAGAAGAATTAGATGCCACCAAAAACCAAAGGATCGACGCGAGAATCTAGAACATCATCCTCAACCCAAGTCTGCTACACTCCCGTGATTTTTCTGTGTGTTCTCCTCGCCATCAACCCGGATTGGACGTCGCTAGTCAAAAATTCATATTAGAACATTGTCAATCCCATCCTTTACTTTCAGAGAAGTGTATGAATATCATTTTGAACAAACTGTACCCCGATGATAGTCAATCGACGTCGATTCCAACCTTATGTATGTTTCTGCATGTTTTTCCATATCTTATAATCTGCTATCTCTGTATTCATATGTATTTCGCCGCATTAGTATCTGTTTAATTGGTAACTTATCTCCCCATCCCTTGTATTATTTAGTTTTCTTTTCTTTTTCTTACATTCACACTCTGTGTATTCTATAAATAAAATCTTTGTATTATATATTCTCGTATCGTCTTCTGTTGTTCTGTGTCTGCATATTGTTCATTTTCTCTCTGCGTTTACCGACGTCCGGAACTGGAGAATTCCCCTCCCAACGTTCTTTTCTTTATTTTTATATCGAACCTTGGGATCTCTTACCTTTTTTTCATTTTCTCGTTGCGTCCCGGCTATTGTAGTCCCAACGAAACCCCGGGCGTAACATAATCAATACAGATTGGCTAACCCACTACATGTTCAAGTGTACCTAGAACATGAATCACGGTGAACAAATCTAAGGGAGATCATTCAGAAATTGCCATATAAAATTTGTTTCATTAAATTTTTTAAATATTTTCTCATTAATTTTCGAAATTAGAAATTAATCTGAAAAGTAAATAAGCATTAAGATCCACCATTTTTTTAAAAATACATTTGTTGCGGGGCCGATAAGGATGTCGCCCCCGCAAGCTTTACGAAGAAAGGTGTGAACAGCTAAGACAATGAAGTGACAAAGGCAGAGGTTTAAGAAACAATAACGACGATTTTATTTATCCTAAATGTACAAGAGTGTACTCTGGAGAAATATATTCGTATCGGTGTCGGGTCCGGTATGACTGGTTTTTCTTCAGTGGTTGTTGATCTCGGTTGTATCGGCGAAACGAACGTAGAGTTGGTCGGCGGCGGTAGCTGGTCGACTGCCGGATGGGAGAATTGTCGGGAACAGCAGCAGGTTGATCGATGGCGCACAAAGATCCGTTGGATCGGTTAGGACGAGTCCCTAAACAGGGCCGAGCCAGTATAGTGATACGACTTCCCAGGGCGGATCAACCGCGGTGACAGGATCTCGCCGAAGTGTAACACTTGACGAAAGCGATAGTCCCTAAACAGGGCGGATCGACCGCGGAGACGTGATCGCGCCGAAGGGTAGCACTTGAAGCTGGGTCAGAGAGGCGATACGTATTCCAGGGCGGATCGACCGCGGAAAAGGGATCACGCCGAAGAGTATTCTCTCGACGAAGGCACCGGGAGCTCACAAAGGTAGCGTACTACACTTTGATCCTAGCCCCTATTGTGAAAGGTCAAGGTTGTTTATCTAAGGAGCGGCTAATGGCGGCCGCAGCACATTTAAACCTTAGGTATCGCTTTTCTTTGGCGTTACATAATTTAATTATCATTTTTACTGGTATTTTTCATGTATAAATGTTAGGGTGGTTATAATTATTTATTCAGAGTTATAACTCCTCTACAAGCCTTTTATAAATATAAAAATTAGGAATTAGGACCATCCAAAATTCGCTCGTACAGATTAACTACGAACTAAGTAAAGTGTGTGTGGCGATATAATTGACCTAAAGCTAAACAACTATATCAACAAAACGTAAAAAAACATTCATTTGTTAGTGAATAAAAGCAGAATTTTTCAATAGGATCCAATAATTCCCAAACTTTTGGGGTAAATTTAAAAAAAAAGTACGCATCATTTTGGAGGTAACTAGTAAAATGAATATTAAACTGCGTTCGTTTAACGCAATTTGTTTTCGTCAAATGAATTCATGGAAAAAAAAATTGATTTTTGTTTAACATTCTGCGATAAAACTAAAATGGGGATATTTCAATCCAACAGTGATCCATTTCCCCCGCCAGTTGCAAGGGAAATAATTCATCTTAAGCCGGATCAAAATATCGAAAGGGACTTTTACAGGAAGTAAACTTTGTTAATCACCGCCGTTTCTTTTGTCCACGCAACCAAAGTAATATTCTGCTTTGTTTAATTGCGATTTTAACAGTTATTTTCGCAACAAATGCGTTGGAAAGAAAATCTCCAATCAAAAGAGAAAAAAAGTTATTTTAATATTTTCTGACTGCAAAAAGGTGGCAGTTATGTTGGATTTTGTCATTTTTGCCGTGACGTTTGCTGTTGCTCTTATTGTCGCTATTATTTATCTTTATCCGGTAAGAAAGATTTTTTTTAATTTATTAAATAATTATTTCATCGAAATATCGAGTTCCTTTGTTTCTTCTTATATAATGAACCTTTTCCCTTTGCCTATTTTTTTGTCATTTAAACTTGACAAAAGTAAATACAGTTTTAAACATTAAAAAAAAAAAAAGAATTAATTTATCAACATTTTTTTATTTTGAAGCCACACATTTTTAAAAAGTCATTAATAACTTGATGAATTGCTTCTTGTTTCACGTGCTAATTACAACAATTACTTTTAGTTTTAAATTTACAGAATTAATCTTTGACAAAAATTTCAAAAGCATTCTCAAAATGCAAAAATCCACAGCCAATTTTCCCCTCCCTAAAAAACAACAATTTATCAAATCTGAACAGAGATTAATATCGGACTTTATTTTTCAATAAAATTATTTGTTTCTCTGTAAGGAAGTTGGATCTCAAAAAAAAAAAAAAAAAATAATAATTTGGCTGGTTTGTGCTTGTTTACTGAATGGGTAAAAAGTAGTATTATTCAACTAATTTCTAAGGCGACTAATTCTTTTGCAAACTTTGGATTGAGGATGTCTTCCATTTTAGCGCCCAAAATAATTTTTCACGCGCCAAATACTGAATAATTATCTCCTTCGATTGCTATATTCTGAGCACAATTTTTACAAAAATAGATAAAATACAATCCAACTTCTGTGACCATTACAAAGCGTAGAAAATAATTAAATTAAAAGGTTGGACCTTTGAATCTGAAAAAAATAATGTCCATAATGTTCACAAGGTATGGCCCAAAAGACTGCTTCTGAAGCTATTTAGATATGGAATCATTGAAGAATCTTCTTGGTAATAAAGTTCTGTTGGAAAAAAAAAAACTTTTGACGCAGTAAAAGGTGGCGGGGGGGAGAAGAGAACAGCAACAGCCTGGTAAGGGTTGCAAGAGGAGGACTCCTTTTTCAACCCACTCCAACTAGGTCTAGTAACTGAGCAGAAAAAAAAGTAATAATCTTTCAGCATGACAATTAACCAGTCACGCGTCGGCTGGTAGAAAAAAAAAATGGTTTGGTGAGAGTACGGAGGACGATTTTTATAAGGAGGCTAACCGCTTCCCACAATCCTCCTCCTACCAAGACCATAAATATAATTGGTAACTTGCTTCCAGTTTAGCTGGGCACAATTCACCCGAGGCTGAAGCAACTGGTCCGTAAGTACCCCCTCTCTCTTCTTCTTTCCTTTTCTTCATACATTCCTGATGGCAAAAACACAAAAAAAAAAAGAAGTGGAGGAAAGAAAGAAAGAAAAAAAAAACAAAAAAAACTGGGCAATAATGTTCCTCCTCAGACAGGCGAGTTCTTATTTCTGAATGGTCTGCCTTGGCTAACCAATTGCAGGAAGCAGGAGGCTCTTTGTCAATGCCAACACGTCGAAAATGGAACCATTCATCACAAGAATCACACCCAATCATGTCCAGATTTCCCTGAGGAGAGTTGCACACAGGACATAACCAGACATGCTCCTCATCGATGGCAGCAGAACATGATGAATCCTTGTCCCTCTCTGCAATCGAAGCACTCTCAGGAGGTGACACAGGACCACTAGTTGGTAACTCAGCAGAACGGTTAGCTGTCAGGGAAAGTTCCAGTGGGTAGAGGTGTTTCAAAGAGTGTACCTCTTCAAGACTGTCCCCCTTTTAGACACGAGCTGACCTGACTACACCATCATCACCGGGGATGAGATCTGTAATTGTCCCCAAGACCCAAAATGGTTGTGGTTTTAGAGAACTCTTAATCAGGACCACATCATCTTTCTGAAGCCAGTTCTCCATCTGCAACCGTGTTCATCCTGGGACCCTTCTCCCCAGCTCCAGAAGGTATTCCTTGTACCAGGACTCATGGGACCTTAATAAATACTGGTTCCTGAGGTCCATTGCCTCGACAAGCCTTTTTCTGCTGGCTGGTACTGCAGAAGTCATTCCTGTTCAATCGCAACAACAGCCCCTGACTCTTGTTGGGCCTAAGGAACATGTTGGGTGTGATAGCCGCAGCATTATTATCAGCAGACACCTGATAGGTCAGAGGTCGGTTATTGACCAATCTCTGGATATCAGAGACCACTGTCAGAAGGTTAAAATAATCCAGTTTACCTCTGCCAAGAATCTTAAAAAGGCAATCCTTCACCGTTTTAATGCAATGCTCCCATGTTCCCCCATACCAAGGTGAAAACAGAGTGATGGTTTTTAGTTTTAACCCACAGGAACCATACTTGCTTTTATATTCTTGGAAGAGAGAGAGGCGGCTAAAAAGTCTTCCACTTCCCAGAAAGGTCTTAGCATTGTCACTATAGATTACTTCCAGAACTCCATTTTGGTTGGTGAAGCAAACCAGGGTTTTAAAAAAGGATAGCATACTCATGTCTGGAACCACCTCAATATGTATTGCTCTGATATTCAAACATGTGAACAACAATAAGTACATCTTGTCCTGTTTACCATCATTCACCCAGAAATGGCCGGTGCAGTCGATGCCTGTATGCTGGTAAGGGACTTCAAATTCGACTTGATGGGTTGGTAAGCTAGCCACAGTATTTGGCAGTACTGGTCACGAATTGTATCATTTGCATCTGGCACATGACCCCAGAACCTTGTTGATGGCCTGTCTTCCTTGAGGGACCCAGTAGCCGCTCCACCTCAACTCAGCCAAAGTAGATCCAGTTCCAAGATGACAACACTTTACATGACAATCCAAAAATAATGTCTGGTCACTGGGTGGTGTTTCCCTATCAGGATAGAGTTCTTGATTTCATAGGTAAGATGTGAAGATCGGTCAATTCTTCCTCTTGATCTGATCCACCCATCCGAGTCCAAAAAAAGATCCAAGGTATGAACTCTAATGGGTTCAGATCTTCCTGCTGGCTTCATTAGATACTCAACCTCTGAAGGGAATTCATGTCCTTGGAGAACTCTCATCAGGTAAATGGCCGCCTTAGATCTGTAGTCCCATTCCTGTCCTAGCTGCATGGCTATGAACTTGAACACCAGTGAAAGGGTATGACAGAGAAGTATTCTTGGTCAAGAACCATAGAACAGTTCACTGAAGTACGGGCCATCTGTTGGCACATCTCTCTTAAACAAGGTAAATCCTGTGTCAGCCACTGGATGATCCCCTCACACAACCAGGAAGGACCAGAACACCAAAACTGGAAGTTGGAATGAAACTTCCTCAACGTCATTCCCCTTGTGATCAGGCCGGCCGGATTATGTGCTGAATTCACATATTTGAAGAGTCTTCAGGCTGTAGTGGGACTCCAACCCAAGGTTCATTTGCAGGACGTCTTTGAGTCAGTTTCTAGCAAAAATGTTTTTGCTGGCCATGGATTGAGACAAGAGCCAAGACAACACTACTTGGGCATCAGTAGCCACACATAAGTTACTTGGAACAAACCCTTCACAGTTGTCCAGGATTGTTGGTAGGCACTTAAAAGCGAAGTAAACCGCCATTAACTCCAAAACAGGCAGAGTTTTGTCTTTCATCGGAGTGACCTTAGTCTAAGCAAACACCAAAGACGATCGATGATTTTGCAATGTAAGTGGCAAATCTATATGCCTCCATGGAAGCGTTGCAAAAGAGGTACATATCTCCAGGCTGTCTCACATCGAGAGCCTTTTGATAAAAATGGAAGTCACTCAGTCCAGACAGGTCCCCAGCAAGCTCCCTCCAATCACTCAAAACTGCAGTAGGAAGAGGATCATTCCAACCAAAATCATTCTTCCACACAGACCTAATAAGTATTCGGCTGCGAACCATAACTGGGAGACAAAGAGATAAGAAAGCACTCCCCTCTTTGTTGATGCATTGGGATTGCACTTGACGCGGCCCATGAGCATCTCTTCTGAAAGAGGGTTGTATTGGTAATCCAGTACCTTCTCCCATTCTTCATCATGTGCACTCAGTGTACCATCTTCTTTCATCCTGGTTCGGAGAGCCTCATTGTTGGAGTTGCAGGACTGAATAACAAAGCCGCCTTCCTGCAAGTGTCTAGTAGGTATTTTGCTGCATGCAGTTTCGGAATACACCCCAGTACAAAAGGGCTTGAGGTGAACCCGAATATCAAGGTGGTATATCAAAAACAGCAAAGATGATTCCCATCCTTAAGCAAGAAACAGAACTGGGCTTTGTCAGCCTCTCCAACTTGAGATGAATCATCAAGAATGCCTTCTGAATGTCTGCGAGCAGGACGTAATTGTTAGTTCTGAAAGACAATAATAATTTCAACATATGTCCAGTTAGATTGACCCCAGAGTAAGCGGCCTCGTTCAGGGACAATCCACCACCAGTCTTCAGACTGCAATTGAACACAGGTCTGATTTTGGTAGTGGCTGTTGGGTCAGACCTGAAAACCGGTTGATGTGGAATCCACACATATTTATCAAATTCGTGGGTGGGGGAACAAAAATCTCTTCAATTATTCCATCCTGTTCTTGCTGACGGAACACCTCTAAGTATTCAAGATAAATATTCTTTTTAGTCAGGTTTGAAGCCACCTGGTTCAAGATGCGCAAAGAAACGGCGTGATTGGATAGAACCCAGGCTAACTTATCAGAATGCCAGGGGAGCTCCACGTAATACTTTCCATCCTTGAGCTCTACAGTGTCGTATGCCCTAGTTGACGAGTGGTTTTATAAGGCGATCATATGCCGATTAGAAGATATATACATTCTCACACCTGTGGAGAGATACAAGCTATCTCCCTCAGATCGTGACAATGGACAATTGGTAAACAAAAATATTTTTTTAAGAACACTGTTCGATTAGGATAATCGAACAGTAATCTTTCCCAGGTCTGCTTTGTTTTCATCACGAATACTGATCCGCAATACAAGGATGAACTATAAGGCTTAGCGAATTTTGATACAAGAATTTTAATATGTACAAATATTAAAATAAAAGAACAGATAAGTATGAGTTAAAACATCCGACGACCAGATCTCAAGACTTACGTTGGGATA